TGGACAAGAACAAACTGGGAGGAGGGTAGAGAGAATAGTGCAACAATGAATGGAAACCCAAAATCTCTGTAAATGTTTATGAAAATTAATAAAATATAATTATAGAAAAAAAAGAATAGAATATATACTGTTTTGTCACACAATTATCTTTTAAAAAAGTATTTTATTGGAGATTGATTGTAAGTTCTAAAAAAATTATTATAGAGCAATAATTTAGTATCGGAATAATGTTTTACCTTTAATGGTTCTTCATGAGACACATATTCCTCAGGATGTTCAAGAAATTTCTCTTTTGCATCAGTACTTGAAAAGTAGTAGATCTTTTCCCGATATTTAGCTGCTTCATCTATGTTGCCTGGTTGTAGGATGAAGTTTTCTTTGAGAGTCACTGGACAAAAGTGTTTTGTATCTCCCAAATGTCTCCTCTTTTCTTTAATTTTTTCTTCTCTCTAAAAATGCATTCAAAGGTTGGAGAATATTATTAAAATACTTTGATGAAATACTAAAGTTGCTGTTGTTGGGGACCACCAAGTTGGTTGTCACACACAGTGAAACTATCACAACAGACAAAACACTGCTGGGTTCTGTGCCATCTACCCAGTCACAGGTGTTCTTGAGCCTATGACTGCAGCCACTGTGCCAATACTAAAGTAGAAATTTAAAAATGCATCTTCACAAAACAACTATGAGATATCATCTCACCCAAGTAAGAACAGCAAAATTTAATAGAACAACAAACATCAAATGCTGGTGAGGTTGTGGAGAAACTGGAACCCTTATTCACTATTGGTGGAAGTGTAAAATGGATGGCGCTTTCTCAAAAAGTTGCAAATAGAAATATCATTTGACCCAGCAATTCCACTACTGATAATTTACCCTAAAAACCCATAACTGCCTCTCAAACAGATATATGCACAGTCATGTTTATTTTTGCTTTGTTCTCAATAGCAAAGAGCTGGAAACAACCCAAGTGACCATCAACAAATGAATGGATAGAGAAGCTGTAGTATATTCACACAATGTAATACTATGCTGTATTGAAAAGCAAGGAGCTCATGAAATATAATGCAAAATGGATGACCCTGGAGGGTATTATGCTGAGTGAAGTATCTCAGCCACAAAAGGACAAGTATTCCATTGGACCACTGATGATGTAACACGTGACTGACATCAGGGTTGAGGGAAGACATAAAAGGAGGGGAGGAATGATGTATATTGCATTGAAATAGATAAGGGAAAGACCTGTTTAAAAGGGATATATGAATGTGTATTCTTGTCATTACAGAAGTCCAGCGTGAAGGCTGCATAGTGGAATGAACTTGGGGGGAGGGGAGGGATTGCATAACAGTGAAAGAGATTTTTCTTTTTCTTTTCAAGGAGAGGAGCGATTTGGTGGGGATGGGCAGGGAGAAAAGTGCAACAATGTATGACTGGAAATCCTAAGTTTCTGTAAACTTTCATTAAAATTAATATTTTTTTAAAAAAATAATAAATTTTTAAAAA